TATAAGAGCTCTCAGTGAGAATCGAGTCTTAGAAAGACTAAAACTACCTTTGAAGTATCTCACCACAAACCTAAGTTTTAAAATCTCACTGATTCACATTCCTATCTCTTTCTGGCATGTTGCCGTTATGAGGAAATCAAGAATGAATAGTGCGCTGGCTTCTACTTTTTGACTACTTAGGTTCAGATTAAATGGGTGGAAGTGGGCCTTGGGCCCATACCCAAACCTTTTTATAAAAATTTATGTATATATCTTTATTATTTTTTTCTTCACTTATGTGTGTGTGTATGACAATATGTATTTTATTTTGAATCCTTCGTAATATTATCATTTTGCTGGAAATTAAATCCTTATAATTTTTTCTATTTTGGGTAAATTCTCTCTCCCTCTCTCTCTATTATTTTGCTTATTTTATAGACTTCTAATCCTCAATATATAATCAGCAAATCTTTTATTGGAGACAATTTTAAATATGAATACTTTTTTTAAATTCAAACCTTGAATTATTAAAACAATATAAAATGCTTCTCTCTATCAATAATTTTGAACAAGGAATACAATTGAAAACATTTATTAATTAATTACATTTTAAAACTGGGTAGTTTTTATTTATAATTAACATAAAAAATAAGTTTTTCAGTTCTCTAACGAATCACTATAATGGACAAATTAGCTAAAAAGTATTAGTACAATATATCTCAGAATGAATGGTCTAAATTAATCTCCCAAAAATGATGAAATAAAACGAATGAATATGTTTTTGCTTATAATTTAGACTAGAGACACAATATTCCTGGCGTTTTAGAGTGAATTTGTGGAGTAACTCAAATGATGTTATCAGGCAAATTTTTATTTTATTTTATTTTTTAAAGTGTGGCCGTAAAGAATTTGATCATCTAAGCGCTTCTCCAATTCAAGCATTGAGACAAACAATTTTAGATTATTATTGCTTGTGTATCTGAATATCTATGAATTTTCTGGGTAAATTTACATGAATATGAATCATGTAAACTAGTTTCATTTTTGGAAACAAGATCTCGAATCTTAAAAAGTTTATCTCTACAAGTACATCCAATCCGATTCAATTCAACGTTTGAAGGACTCAGAGGGGAAAGTAATTAAATAAAGGGAGAATGATAATTAAGGATATGTTAAGAACATTAATTTTAATTATAGAACATGAAATTTTGAAATCAGAGTTAAGGATCATGGTCCTTAATTGTAATAAAAAAATGTAATTTGTAAGGTAGGATTTACTAACGCGACTTGAGAATTCACTAATCTAACTTGAAAAAATTATTAACGTATATTGTGAAAACATGAAACCTCACTTGAAAATGAAATGTTTAACAAAAAGCACCGCTTAGGAATTCACTAACTAGACTTGAAAAAATTTCTAACATATATTGTGAAAAAATGAAATCCCACTTGAGAATCATTAATAAAAAGTGACTTATCCAAATTAGTATTTTTTATTAAACAATCGATTTCCAAGTAAAGTTTCATGTTTTCACAATATATGTTAGAAATTTTTTCAAGTCGAGTTAATGAATTCTCAAGTGACGTTTTTTATTAAATATTTAATTTTAAGTGGAATTTCATATTTTCACAATATACGTTACAATTTTTCTCAAGTTAGGTTAGTGAATTCCCAAGTAATAATAATAAATCTCATCGCACAAATTATATTTTTTTAATCACAATTAAGGACCATAGTCCTTAACTGAAATTTTAAAATTTTATGATTCATAATTGAGATTAATATTCTTAACAGGTCTTTAATTGTCATTGTCTCTTAAATAAATTATTAATATATATCTTCATTTACCTGGTAGCTTGAAGTAGAAATTGAACATGGGTAGTACCAGAAGGATTGGGAGAGCTTGCGGATTAAGCTAAGCCTACCTTACTTTGCTCGCCAAAGGTTGATATGAACAACCAATCGTCACCGTGAATTCCACAAGAATTGGGAAATCAACATCACCAACCAAAGCATATTAAATGACGACAAGTCATATCGTTGTCTTTTGAATTTAGAAAATTTATTCTTTGGAATAATGGAAAATTGAAGTATTTTAATAATTAATGTGAAATATTGGAAGCCACCTTTGAAATCTCAATCACTGGGTACAGCTTGCTCAATTTTTACTCGTCGATCGTTTAGACTAATCACAATGCCCCGTTTATCTTAGCGGCAAAGAAATTAATGTGAAACATTGACTTTCTTTGTATTTTTATTAGGGGCCCAACCCCTTCTTCAATTTTAGGATATCAAGAGATTTGTGGAGGTAAATTTTTAGATTTTGGAGGAAGAAAACAAATGTACGTATATATGGTAGGAGGACGTCTTTTCGTCTCCAAACTAGCTTCATTCTTGAAAAAATACCTATCAAGTTTCCTCTAAATATTTTAATTATGAAGAGATCCCATAAAATATATAAATTACAATTTAATAAAAGAAAATAACAAGTTAACAAAAGAAAATGACAACTTGAGTATTGGTTTACTATCAAGTTGTTATTTTTTTTTATCAAGTTATAATTGTATAGAATTTAAAATTTAATAATAATTTATACATTTCATGAGACTTTAAGGTTAAGATTATTGAATTATCTGTGTGAAACTTCTCAATAATTTTCCTTTGTTTCTTTTCAATAATTTCCATTTTTTGGATAATAAAATTTTCATCAATTTGAATTTTTAAATTTAATTTTTATCAATTTAATTATTATATTTTTTAAAATCATCTGGCTAATCTTTTAAGTTTTAAAACAGGTATTGACTCTTAAATTATTAAAGTGTAAACTGTGTTGTAATTTGATCAGTTTAATTTTTATTAATCCATTCCCTCACACTACATTTTGTTTTTGTTTTTATGTTTTTTAAAATTTTAAATTTATTATTTCCTATGTAAATAATTATATTTTTTTAATTAATTTACATAATTATTATCAATATTCGTTTATGTATCTCAGTAGATTTGAATAATATTACTTTCTTTTCAAGTAATGAAGACAAAATAAATAATTGAGACAAATTTAACTTGATAAAAATTAAATTTGAAAGATCAAAGTGAAAACTAAAATAAATTTAAATAATTAAAAATTTTATTATTCTTCCCATTCTCTCACTCCCTCCCTGCTTCGTTTACACCACTTGTCATTTGTCCTGATGATGCTTCGAAGATTTATGCTTTTCACACTGAATCTTGTATAAGGATAAACTAAAACAAAAGAAAGGCTTCGTCCACGTAACTCCACCCACACACACGGAAATTTGACGTCATATATGTGATTCATTATATATGAGGGTGTTTAAAGAACAGGATGAAATTGAAACAACCTTATCTTATGACCCATCTTAAAAAAAATTAAGATTAAATTTTTATTCCATCCCGTCCTATTTCAAAAGTTATTTCATTTCATTAAGAATTAAGATCAGATCGGAATAAGATTGGGACGTCTCGCTGTCCCAATAAATTGAATAATGTTAAAGAAAGATTTAAATAATAATATTCATTAAAATTTTAAAATATGTAATTTATTAAGTTTAAAATCAAAACAATATAAGTATATAAATCACAATAATTTAAAATCAATTATTGAATTACATTAGTCACAACTATACATTATAATAACAATTACAAGTGATCTCTAAACTGTAAGAGCAACAACAACATGCAAACCAGTCATAATATCAAATCATTGTTTTTTTACTTTAGTTGATATATACTAAACTAATGACTCTTTTAAAAATAAAACAAGAAGTACGATATAAATAAAACTTATTAAATATATAGATATAAGAATAAATTATATTAATATAATTAATATATTAGAAAGAAAGATATCAACCTGTTTACTCTATGTCATTAAAATTATCAATATAAAAAATTTTAGTTTTATATAAGAATTACAAGTATTGAAATTATAATTCCTATAATTAATATAATTATAAATTATATTAATATAATTAATATATTTAATATATATTTTTAAAATAAAAATAATATATATAATATTCTGGACTGGACAAGACGTCTTTATAATAATCTCATGTCTCGTCCCGTCCCGAATTTCTTTCCATTCCCTTCCCTCAAAATCTTGTCCTGATTATTTTCGAGTTGAGAAGAAACTCGTTCCACTATGATTGAGATAATATCTGGTCAATCGGGATGGATATAAATTGAACACTCCTAATTATTTAGTTAATTAGAACAGAATTTTGTCTACGTACCTGTACATGCGCGTCATGCATAATGAGCAGCTTCTATTCTAATTTATTTATTGTAAAATAGAGTTAACCAACTTTTTACATGGTTATAATGTAGGGTTAATTAGCATCCTAAATTTTAAATTATTGCATAAATAATATCCTATATTCTGAACTTATAAAAATATATAAAAACTTTTTTCAACTTCTAAATTCTAAATGTTTAAAACACTACCGTTAAGTTAAAAAAATGATCATTACTTTTATAGTTGTGGAGTCCAAGCACATGCTAATGTGACACTCATTTGACCCTTAAAAATGACAGTCACTTTCTCCAACTTAATGATGGAGTTTTCAGTGCTTAGAATTTAAAAGTTAAGATTTTTTTTTACATATTTTAAAAGTTTAGAGTTTAGAATATTATTTACACAATAATTTAAAATTTATAATACTCATTAACCGTATAATAATGTATCATTAAATCAATTTTGAACTATTACCAATAAAATTAGGTCTAGTAAAAGAGTTAGTCTCTGATAACATGATAGACTAAGATTTAAATTGTCATTAGAGAGGTATCCACATTTAATGCACAATCTTGCCTCAAATATGATTGTTTCCTATAAGATAATACTTATAAATAATAAAAAAAATTGATTTTAAATTATTACTGGAAGAAAATTTTGTTTAGCATGATTTTTATAAAACATAATATCTATTTTTTTAAAAAAATTATCACATGTAACTTTTAAATGATAAATGCTGGATATATATAATTGGGAGAATAATAGTAAAATTTTAAAAGTTTGAATTAACGACAGTTAGATTTTTAATAATTTTTTTTAAAAAATAAATTGTAAATATTAATTCAAATGTAAAAATTCATGTTATAATTTAAAAATTACATTTGATACTTAAATGCATATTTGCAATTCAAACACTTGAATTTATGATTATTTATATCGATATTTTTAATTTATTTTTTTTTTAATTTGTCAAAAACCCAACAACCATCAACTTAATGTTCTAAAACCTAACTGTCCTTCTCCCTGTATAACTTGCCACGCTTCTTTTCATTGCAGCGGCCCCTTGCCCTTAGTGTGATAGCAGCATATTACATGGATTAAGATTCCATTATTTATGTAGTACCTGTACCAGTTACCACCTGACGCAGCGAATCAAAAGTTCCAGACGCCTCAAATTACGTCCAACGTACCTTTGCTTTTTCTCTGCCTTATTGCCACTCAAATTTCTTCACCATTTCCACGACTGTCACCTCCAGTCCAGTCAGTCCACCACCATGCAATCTCACCTCTCCTCTAAGCCTTCCTTCCTCCTCCCCGTCGACGTCCAAGAGAGAGCCACCGTGTTCCGCCCACTTTCGCTCGCCCCACCTCACATGCGCGCCTTCCATCTTGCATGGCTCAACCTCTTCTCTTGCTTCTTCTCCACCTTCTCCATCCCTCCCCTCCTTCCCGTTATCCTCCACGACCTCCACCTCACCCCCACTGACATTGGCAACGCCGGCGTCGCCTCCTTCGTCGGCTCCATCTTCTCCCGCCTCCTCATGGGCCCCATCTGCGACCTCGTCGGCCCCCGCATAGCCTCCGGCACTCTCTCCCTCCTAACAGCACCTGTCATCCTCGTAACCGCTTTCGTGTGCACACCCCAATCCTTCATCATCATTCGCTTCCTCGTCGGCTTCTCTCTGGCCAACTTCGTGTCCAGCCAGTTCTGGATGAGCTCCATGTTCTCCCCCTCCATAGTAGGCCTGGCTAATGGTGTTGCAGCCGGGTGGGCCAACGTGGGCTCGGGTGTGACCCAACTTGTTATGCCTCTGATCTACTCTCTCATCATGCACTTCAACGTCCCGTCTTCCATTGCTTGGAGGCTTGCGTTTGTTGTTCCTGCAATTTTCCAAGCAACCACAGGGATACTGGTCCTGGCTTTCGGGCAAGACCTGCCTTCGGGGAAATACGTGCGTACTAGCCAGACCCAGAAGGGTGAAAGAGAGAACGCATTGAAGATTGTATTGGAGGGCTTGACCAATTACAGAGGGTGGATTTTGGGCCTGCTTTATGGGTTCTCTTTCGGGGTGGAACTAACTACAGACAACATAATAGCACAGTACTTTTATGACAGGTTTGACGTGGATATTGAAGTTGCGGGGAGTATAGCGGCAAGTTTTGGGATGGCGAATTTGTTCTCGCGGCCTCTGGGAGGAGTGATTTCTGATGGGATGGGAAGGAGGTTTGGCATGAGAGGGAGATTGTGGGCTTTGTGGGTGGTCCAAACAGTGGCTGGACTTCTCTGTGTGTTACTTGGACGCCTCAACTCTCTCTGCAGCTCTATCCTCGTCATGTGTGCTTTCTCCGTGTTTGTCCAAGCAGCTTCTGGCCTCATATTCGGTGTCGTCCCCTTCGTTTCCAAGAGGTTAGCTCACTATCTCATTATTCCATTGAGCTTCGAGACAAACCCACGTCAGAGCAAGAAGGAAAGTAAAACACGGCTCGTATTTGTTGGTAAATAATATAAGCTTTCAGTTCCTTTCTAATTCAAATTGAATGTGTTAATTTCGAAACCCTTCAAATGAGTTCGAGACTTTCAATCTTAAATGGTAGGAACACAATTTCCTAATGACGATATAAAACAAAAAGAAAAGATACCCACGGCTCCTCAGTTTTGCAAACTCTCTCTCTCTCTCTCTCTCTCTCTCTCTGAATTTTTATGCCACATTGTGCAGATCGCTTGGAGTAATTTCAGGGATGACGGGGAGCGGAGGAACTGTTGGGGCCGTGGTGACTCAAACGCTGTTGTTTTCAGGGGCCCAATTCTCAAGGCAAACAAGCATATCTCTGATGGGCATTATGATGGTACTGTGCACTCTTCCAGTGACCTTGCTGTATTTCCCTCAATGGGGAGGCATGTTCTGTGGCCCTTCATCAGATGCCGATTCCCCTGAAGAAAATGATCGCCTGCTACATTAGAATGATCCAATGGGTTCCTGGTGCTCATGTCCACAGACGCATTCTGCATAAAGCTCAAGATGAACGTGCAATCAGTTTTACATTTCTAGTGGTAGAACCCATTAAAATCCACAGAAAAAACATCCATTTGTACAGTGATAATGAAGTATTTTATTGGACAGACTGCGTAATATTATGATACAAGTTTGGCAAAGGGATTTTTCCTAAAAATATTCAAAGGATTCACTCCACTCGTGGCATAAGTTGCAGACATTTAACAAATATGTACTGAAAAATTAGAGACAAATTACAAAAGGGTAAAAAAGGTCACCGGCAAACATTTGCTGACCAGACAGGTAAAGGGATGTTCAGCAGCATGCTAACCGAAGACACTGCAAATTTTAGTTGTTTCTTTTACATGACTGAATGCTAATTCAGATTGCCAATTACCGAATAAATTTTTATTTTCAAAAGGATGATTACAACCGTGAAATTATTCTCAGATTTTATTTATTTATTTTTTCTTTCACTCAGATCAGTATTTGATAACTTGAGGGAGAAAGCTAAGCGGTCAACAGTTAAAAAGCCTCCCAAGTCGGTTAAATCTACCAAAAGCCAAAGAAACAGATACTTCTGGGAATAACTGCATGATTAATGTAAAGGGTGAATCTTCGCTACTGCACACAACCTCACTCATTAGCCATTAGATAATGGTCTTCAGATATATGCATCAGTGCATCTTAAGAAAAACTATGCTCATTCAGCCTTATCCACTCCACGGTAAGTGCAAATTCCCATTAACCACCATAAATTCCAACCCAAGCAAACTTCTGTCTCAGTTTAATGATTGTCCAAAAGATTCAAAACAAATCCCTGTTTTTAACACAAAATGAGGGATTGCTAAATATTAGAAAAATATTAGGCAGTCAGATTAAAACGAAATGCAAGCTGTAGGAAAAATGGTGATTTTTCAGATCAATTGATCACACGGGAAGGGGGGTTAGATGACCCTTTCAAGGAAACAAGTTCAGTAGGTCATTTTCACAATCCAGAACCCAAAATAACAAGCTCATCAATATTAAGTAAAAGGATCAATAAATTTAACTTAGCTGGTTACCTTGTTAAGTTGCTTTCACTAACATGCTTCCAAGTCTATCTCTAATTAAAGAAAATGCCTCATGAGGCATTATATGTGGCAAGTTCCACCAGTTACCCAGAACTCCAACCAAAGTGAAACTCTGATTCCTCACTTCAATATTGGCCAGACAGAGAAGCTTACAGTCCTGAACTTCAACTTTGCTGGCATATAATGACTACAGAGTAAAGAATCAGCAGACATCAAATTTAAGGCAATATACTCACCTAACAAACAGATTGTTAATATACTTTGAGATGAGTGAAATTCAAAGGAATGGGGGGAGGGGGAAGGAAAAAGGAAGGAGATTGTATGATTTAAGTTATCCTAATATTTTACTTTGATATTCGGTATAAACGATACACGTTCAAAATGTGGCGATTTATTAATGAAACCAATTATATGAATATACAGGTTAATGACATAGGGTTATATTTTATGACAACACAAAAATTAAAGCGGGAAATATTTCCAGAAATCATGCAACAGTAAATATATAAACATAACAAGTAGGAAATTGGTAATTTGTCCGATGATTATGCATCACAGATGGATAAATTGGCAAATTGGCTTTAGCAAACTACACATAGCCTATTGCCACATCGATAGATATTAGCTACTCTAAGGAGATCAACAAATGCATAAGTGGGCATGAGTGGTTAGAGCAATACAAGACAGAAGACACATAATAAGCACAATTAATACTACTATTCCATGTGGAAAGCTATAGTTAGGATAAGCTGTCTATATAAAATATCCCATAATTTCTATTCATAAGTCTCAGGACAAAAACGGCCCTGGTTTCTAAAAGAAAAATATAATGAAATGCTAAAAGTTATTTCAGATGTGATAGAACAGAGATTGTTAATTTCATGGAGTCTCAAAGAAGTTAGCTACAATTCATTCCAGTAGTACTTAAGTGGCGGAGGTTCTCTCCCTTACAGACTAATTTTTGAGAGTGAGATCCCCATTCTTGTTTAGGTCTCCATCAATTGGTAAAGTACCAGAAAAATTACTTGTGGTCGCTTCATGTAAGACTCCATCATAACACTAACTCTGAAGAGTTGACATCATAGGTGGCTGCACCCTGGGGTGGTCACAATCCAGCCAGTCACATTCTCAGCAAACTGGTTTTTTTAGGGCGGATTCCCCATGTTCACTTAGGTTTTCATCCAAATTACAATAACATGTTACAAATAAAAATGTTTGAATACATAAGATATGGTATGGCTACCCACCTTTGATTTATGCAATGAAGGTTCTTGACGCATACATTGTTGGCAAAGCTGCAATAAGAACAATTTGTCAAAAAATATATAATCAAGCAATACCATATAAGCACTGTTCAAAACAAAACCTATTCAGAAGACAAGAAAAATCTAGGTTAAGAATGAGTAGAGATAAATTTTCTAAAACATCTTGGCAAATAACAAACGAAATTCAAGAGTGACCCAATGCACTATAATGAAGGAAACCTAGCCCAGTATAATGACTTTGAAGTGAAAGGCCAAATAAGAGATCAAAGTAAATTATACAGTAAGAGTTTCTGAAGAAGTTAATGAGGCAATTAGAACTTAGAAGAACGCTTTCAGACCTCATCAATGAAAACATAGACAGAGTAAGGATTGGGCTTTGTGCTAAGGAGGAATAAAGTAACTTTAATGAGTAGTAGCAAGATCGGATCATCCAAGTTTGTCAACACAGTAAGAAAGAGAAAGACAGGAAGCCAAAATCTCCTAGCAAGCATCCACAGATGGTGCCGATGTTCTTCCTCCTCTGAAAGGTCCAGCGAGTCTTCATAGGGTTCATCAACTAGAGCATCTTGAGCTACTCATCAGGAAAAAAGGTACTGAAAGTTATTAAGGGTAAACTTCAAACAAGAGATGGGAAAGGAGAGAGCTACTAATAATAATAAGATAAAAAAGTAGTCATAGCAACAATCAGATATCTATCTCACCATCCATAGCATAAGCCATAACTGACCCATATGCAATTGACGTGCCTAAAATGATTCCACTGCTGAACTTATTTCCTGAAACATTTACCAAAACCCCAAGTGACAAAAAAAGGATAATGATTAGCAAAATCTATATGCACATTTAAATTCCAAGAATACTAAGTTTCATTCTGGTATTGCTTCAAATGAAAGAATGTTGATTTCCAGCCAAACTTGGAACCATGATATGTACTCCTCTAATCCTCTTTATAAGTCATTTTTACCAACCTCATTAATACCAATGCAAAAAAAGTATAAGGAATAAAAGTTTATAGAATTCCAAATATGCCACTATATAACAAATTCAAAAGGTAATGCCTGTTACTTTTTCTCTCTCATGAAGGGTAACTTTGGAAATACCTTTCAAATATAATCTAAAAAGTTGCACCGTAACTTATAAATGATACCAAATGAATCTTCTAGAATGTGATTTATAAATGTAACCAAAACGAGTAGATAATAAGTAAAAAAGGTTAATTATGACAGGTTGATCCATCAAACAATCCTTTTGGGGAGAAAGGAAGCTTCGCACATTTACTTGTGAATGACGTTATATTAGTACGTGTCGGCTAGAAGCAGAAACTGCCTCATGGTATAGATAACTACTGACGACTGAAAGCATATTTAAAAAGCTAATAAAGAAACAGCATCTCCCACTGATGGATAGAAGCTCTTCGGGCCATGGTTCGACGATCCCACTATACATCAATAGTAACATTCAGAGTCTTCCTACGTCTACGCCGCCCCCCCCCCAAAAAAAAAAAAAAACCAAAAGTATTCCTCGGTTAAATCATCAATAATTAAATAAGTTCAGATAATTTTATATTTTCCTCCAACGCCCCTCGTCAATGGAATAGCTCTTAAAAGTTAAAACTTTTGTATGGTACATTGTCAATCCCCACTATTGTCTCCTCATCTTCCATCGTAATCAGAGCTTTTTAGTGCTTGCAGCTTGTATACAGGCAAAGAGGGAAAACTAACGCAAATCATGTAAAGTTGACATTCAATTTACAATGGGATGAATAGGAGTTGAAGTTTAACCCATTGAATTCTCAACAGAAGACTTTGAAAGCTTCAAAAACGAAATGTAGAACCATAAACAACCAAGTTCATACAGCAACTGATGATGGAAGCAAGAAAAACAAGGCGGAAATTTTAAATTGAAAAAAATAAAATCAAGCAAAATAACGAAACATGATTACTCACCACAAAAATAGATATTTCTTAGATACTTTCTAGCTATATGTACATCGGATTTGAATATGGAAGAACGTCCGCATACTGAGGGCTCTATGGTTTTCAGAAATGTTTTTATGAAATCGAATTTGCCATAATCTGAAACGAAAGAAGCGCCAAAACAAAAAAGTCAATAAAGAAACGACCAGAAGTAAAAGAAACGAAATTAGCGAAATATAAGTTAGAAAGAAGAACCTACTGGACCGCTTCAGATGAGAAAATGATGAGCTGTGAGACGAGATTACAGTAATAGAGTGCTTGATTGGATGAAGAAATTTGGTACAGTAGGCCATGCCTCGGCGCAGTACAATCATCGCCCCCTTGAGCCCCTCACTCCCAAAGTTCGCTCACAATACTGTTATTTGCCCCGCAGCGAACCGGGCCCTGCTCCCGGAGTCACGAGTCGATTTGTAGCTCAAATATCAAAACGCGCTTGATGGTTTTATTGCGCTTGTCCTCGACTCCTCGGTCCATCTAACGACCCGACACAGGGACGCCGTTTAATCATTTGATCATCGCCAACAAAGTGATCCAAAATAAAATAAATAGATCGCTAGAGGCTGTAGTGATGATCATCCTTTACCAGATATCATTTCTCATGCTATTAGTATTTTAAACCGGAACTGGTTTGTTACCATTAATTTTGTATATAAGAACATCGCTAGCATTTCTCATAGATTAGTTAGGAAAACTCACTTTTCACAAGGCTAAAGGTAGATGATGAATGATTTTTTTGACTCTCTCTTTAGTCTATTTGAATAGACTGTTTGAATATTAATGCATTTTAGTTTTCACTTAAAAAAAAAATAAAATAAATAGAACTCAAATTCTAAATTACAATTATTTATATTAAAATATTATAACAACCAGACATTACAACGGTTGTCAAATATAAATTTATCTCTATTTAACTATTAACTATAATCCACTATTCATTTAAAAACGCATCAAATCACCAGAAGCAATAAGAACGGGACTGTAAATATCTTCAAGATATTTTGCAAGCGCTTTTATATTCATTTACGCTTTTAGTTATTTTCTATCTAATGGGAGATATTTTCTTCAAAGGATATCCTTCAGAATTCATCCCCGATAATTGACGAGAAAAAAGAGTAATGTCAGTTGGGGTAGTCTCGAGTTGCTGCTTCCTGTCTTGTTCAAAGCCTTTTTCTCAAGTTCATGGCTATCTGAATTTCCATGGCTCCATGTCAAGGTACTCTTTTTTAACATGTTTCTTAGCAGCTAACAGCTCTCTGGTTCATGAGGAAGTAGAAGATCAACGACTCCCTGTAGAGAATTGATTTTTGAACTAGTTACTTAAAAATGCTACTAGTTACTTACATGTTCAAAATCTATGACGTCTTAGCCTCTACTTGATCTTGTTTTTTTTTAACTTGAAATCCTTTTGAAGATGGAGGCAGAACGGGACTGTAATCAGATGTTGTAACAGGAGGGCATGGGAAAAGTCACGGGCTCAACAGAATTACTACGAGTTGCTGGGAATTTCTGCTGAGTCAAATGCCCGGGAGATCAAAGAAGCCTATCGGAAGCTGCAAAAGAAATATCATCCAGATATCGCTGGCCAGCAGGTCCGTCCCTTGCATCTCCAATAATTTTCTACTTAATTTGTTACTTGATTCATGAGAAGCAGATTGAACTTGGACTAAGTTCAATTTTCAGGGTCATGAGCATACGCTGTTGCTGAATAAGGCTTATCAAGTGTTGAGGTCAGAGGATGAAAGAAGGAAGTATGATGAATCGATCGGTCAGATGAGACTTAGATTTGGGGAAAAGAACTCTGCATCAGGTTACAGCACATGGAAAGGACCCTTGAGGCCACAAGCTTTATTTGTTGATGAGAATGCATGCATAGGTCATCAATCATCACTGTAATGAATAGCTTTTCAAAGTTCCATGCACCGCTGATATATTTATAGAGCTTCTATACATTGGAGGGTAGCTGACCATCAATTTCCATCAGTCACAAAAAAGTTTAACTGTTTGTTGCCAGGATGCGGAGAGTGCGCGCACTTTGCAAGCAATACATTCATTATGGATGAGGCTCTTGGATCTGCGCGAGTAAAGGTCCAATATGGAGATGATGACCAAAATATTGAGGTATACCAACTCTCAAAAAAATGAACTTCTCCTGCATATTTGGTATGATTTTGAACAATTTTTTAGCACACTCGATTTATAAATAAAAGGCCACATAACCTAAGTCTGCAAAATACGAAACTAAATATGAGACCTCCATGTTGCTCTAAGTCCAAGGAAGGTGAGTCGCACTATTCAACAATTATATATACTACTGTTTTCTATATATACACGCACATTAAGAGTCTACAGTAACAACAAATTTTAGGTATCGGTGGAGTCATGCCCAGTGAACTGCATCCACTGGGTGGAGACAGAAGAGTTGGCAGTGCTAGAGTTCTTGATACAGCCACAACCAAAGAAAGGGTATGGTGTATTTGGAGGAGGTTGGGAAAGGCCTGCAAATGTCTTCAGCGCAGCTAAGGCTTTCAATAAACAACTAGAGAGAAAGGCAGCAGCTGGATACAGTCAAAGCTCAGGTACACAATCTTCCCTCATTGCATCTGTGATGAAACTTTTTGCATGTGGCATTGATTTATACGTTGATAAAGATTGGTGTCTTTTTTTTTTTTTTAAATAAAAGATAAAGATTGGTGTTGCCTCAATGCAGGTGAAACAACTGTTGAAGAAAGCCCAGCAGAAGCCCAGGCTCGAGCCCAAGCAAGTTTGGAGATAAAAATGGGAGGTTTATTTAAACTATGGAAGTGGGTGACAGAAACATTTAGCACCCCTGATCCATAGAGATGAATTATGCAGTCTCATGAGAGAAATGTAAAAAATTATGAACAACCAAAAATGAATGTGTATAACATATAAAGAAATCTGGTGGAGGTGTTGGTTATTACACAATCTCAATTCTTATTACAGAATTCCAGCACCATTACAAAAGCATGGATGTGCAAATAAGGAGACTAGACTAGAGCAGTCATAAACCATCAATTTCACACGCGAAAGTAAATTATGATATTCAATCCATTAATTTTACTAAAAATCCATGACATTAGCAAGGCTGGACCCATTAAACTTCAACTCCAGCAGCAGATTATGATAGAAGAATATATCATCACGAACACAACCTCCCTCAAAATCAAGGCTACAGAAAGTTGCAATTGCTCTGTGCAATTTATGTCTCAATTCATAGATTCCATCGACTCAGATTCATCTGCCTTCACATCAAGAGCATCCCATACAAGCAAGTTTTATGAATCAATATAGCCTGCATTTGCCAGTCCCAGCACAAATTGAACACTCATCTGCATCTCCAGCTACATGCCTTAAGCAATGCTTGATCCTATCATCTACAACATCCTGCAGCAAACGATCATCAAAGTTTAAAATTGCAGACATAACGCAACATAGATCCGTTTTTAAGTGATATGCCCTCTGCACTTTGAAATCGAAGTTCTTAGAAATTCTCTCAAGATGGTTCAACAAAGCCAGACTCTTCCAACAGTTGAACCAACCCCTTCAAGGACCAAGCTGCTGCAGTCTAACACACTAGGGATCTTAATTCAAGTAACCCAATGATGAAAACCGGCAAAGAGAGAGCCTTTCAACTACCCAATATCACTCCCAACGGGTTCTGAAGAGGTTATTACTAACTAGAAATAGAAAGAACCGGTCATATTGCGTTCACGAACAATGCATACAAATTTACCTTGACATGTAACATTAAGAATTTTAAGTCCAATAGAAGTTTGTGGTTACATCTATCTAAGAGTGTTTCTCTCAGGTTAGTTATTTTAATTTTTCTTATCTCCAAAAGAAAACAGATGGGCAAAAAAAAATCAGAGAATTCTTACCACGAGTAACTGATGAAGTCCAAGGGGCGCTGTTATAATATATGACACACCTGGGTGATCCTTCGCTGCTTCTGCTGTTAAGGAAGGAATATCCTGTAAAATAGGGCAAAGTATATTAATTTCATTACTTTCATGACTCAATAAAAGTAGGACAGGGTTAACGCAGACCAACCTGATGCCAATGCCTACCAGGAAAGAGGAAAAAAGGACTAACAATAATACGGCGTGCACCTTGCTGAATGCAAGACTTGAAGGCACCTGCTATTGATGGTTCTGCCAATTCCTGATCATGTATTAGAATGATCAAGATAAGTTTCACGGTTACAAGTTCTTCATAAAATGCGAAAGGTACCATGTTTCTCAGTACACTAAGAATTTTCTAAGGTTATTGCATATAGCAACGGTAACCTACTCTTGATAAAATAAGTTATCCCCAATATGAAGAAGAGATTCCCAGAGCTCAAGCTGAAATTAAAGCAACACTCGCCTTGTTTCTTTTTTTTTTTTTTTCAGATTAACATAATTATAACAACAGTAATAAATCAGAAAACTACCATATGAGCAGGCTCCACAATCTCGTACCCAGTTTTATGTTTAAACATCTCCACAAATTCATCTGACATTCAAATTATGACGAGATTTAGGCATCAAATTAAATCGTTTTAAAGAATACATAACAACCAATTTCACATTACGTAAAATTAAAACAGAATTTTAAATGTCAGTGGTAGAATAACAGTGACAGTGCACAACACAAACTCAGAGATCGTAATATTTGAGTTTAACTTACTAAGCATTAAATTGGATTCTTTACGACGCGACCCGTGATCCACAATAATCACTCCGTCCCCATCACCAACCCTTCCAGAGATTTCTCTAAAGTCTCTGTTTTGTGCGCTAAAACACAAAAGTCTGCCCATACTTCGAGTCTTTGACGAACAAATGAGCGAATTTGGGGTTTTGAACGGTGCCCATCCAGCAGTTCTTCCGGTTTCAATAGGAGCAAACCTTTAACAGGATGAAGAGAAATGGCAATGAGATGATGCATCGCCAACGAGAAAAACAAGAAGGTCAAAGTGTTTATAGCGAAAATTTGAGATGGAAAACGAAGGCGATCATCCAACTGTGGATTTGAAGGAACAAGGTAATAAGTACCTTGTGATTGTGCGGGATGGAAGCGACAGAAACTCGAGGTTCATCCTCCAATTTTGGGAGCTAAAGCCGTCTCAGGTGCACGCCCCAGGGAGACAAAATGAAAACTAAGCTAGAAGCTTATACCTGTTCATCACTTGGTCCACAGCGAAAAATAATAAGAATAATAATAATAATTATTATTATTATAAAATCAAAATACTCTGACCTTGTCTGTATTTTATCTTAATTATAAATATTTATTTATTTATTTTTCAAATTTATACCAACCTCTTTTAAAATAAACCATAAAAAAATATAAATATTTTTTATTTTTAAAATTTTATTTTCATCCACAAAACCATTGCTTAATCATTAAATCATATTTTTTTAGATCAAAATATTCTTTTTTTAAATGTAAATATTCTTTAAAAATAATTCAAACTAACCAAACAAATAATGTATATAATTTTAAATTTTTTATTTATATTTTAATTATGTAAATGTATTTATTTAGTAATTTTATAAGAAAATAAATATATAAACTAGATAAAAAAGTATATAAACATACAATAAAAATATGAAATAAGAATTTAATATAATAAATTGCTCAATATAATTTATGTCTATTTTTCCTTAAATTTCATTAATTTTAACACAAAAATTTTAAATTATTTATTCAGATATCAACATATTTAATTATTTAGAGATTTTTTGAAAATTGGGAGACAGAGAAGACAAATTAAGTCATATAGGCAATATCATAATTCAAAATTATTGACATAATTATAATAAAAAAATAAATTTCTTAACGAAATATTTCTAAAAATATTAAAAATTAAATTAAAGTGTAGATCTTAAAAAATAGAATGAAGGTCTATGTAGTTTAACAAAATAGAAGTAAGGTGATTGTATTTTACTTTAATTATAATAATTTTAAGAGCCTCGGTTGGACAAAATTCAGTACGTGGCAAGGTCCCTTGGTTTACCCTGGTGTGTAGCTGGGCCAACCCCACGCAATGTTCGGTTGAGTTTAGCCCAACCCAAACGAATACTTTTAAAAATATGAAAAAAGTTTATTTTATAAATATCATTATTATCATTTAAATAAAAAATAATATTAAGATTGAAATTAATTATTTTTAAGTTATCTATATAACACTTGTCAAATATTTTGACATAATATTTAGTTAAAAATAAATTTTAATTAAAAAATTGAAATGATAAGAAATGTTATAAACATCATTAAAATGACGTGGCAATGAGTCATCCCAACGGTTCCACCTATTTATTTTCAAACGGTTTTTCTCCAATGAAAATAAATTATATATAATGTTTTAAATTGTGAACTGGATGATGAACAAAAAATATTAGTGATTCATAACTCTCATGATTCAATCAGTCAAATAGGTAACCCAAATAATTGAATAAAAAATAATATTTGTATGTATATAATTATATATATAAAAAACAAAATATTAATTTGATTGACAAAAAATCACAATATATCATGTTATTAATACAACAACACCATAATTTCATAATATGTTTTAGTTGCAACACTACATTATTAAAGCAAATTGTGTGGTAGAAATTTTCTTTCTACACTGGAAAGTCGTGATAATGTAGTATCGCCCTTTTTAAACACAATTAAATATCCCTTTAATCCATAAAAGCTATCAGAATATATATTAAAAATAAATTGGAGCTAATTTTGGCAGCATTTAGAACCAAAGATCACAAGATCAATCAGCTGGCCTCGCAATCGGATTTAATAATTTTTCAAATAGCAAAGAAGAAGAAGAAGAAGAAGAAAGCATGGCAAAGAATCTAATCTAGAAGTGGAGAATAAGATGACGATGAGAAGGGTGAAGGCTCAACGGTCGATCGCCTCTACTATTCTGAAGGGTGAAGAAGACAAAGGTGACAAAAGAGTGAAGAATGTAAATTGCTAATCACTGTTGAGCTTAGTGAAGAGTGAAGAAGACGAAGATGAGCTCGAGCTTGAGTCCCCACTCCCAGTCTGCTAGTCTGCCATTGTTGAAGAAGATGAAGAATGAAGAAGGGTGGAACGGAATAAAGGCTGATCGACACCGAATGATAATTGAGTCTAAGTCGCTGAGGCTGATTAATGTGTTGTTGGGATGGTGAGAGTGAAACCTGAGGTTAAGAGGGAGAACATATAAAGGAGTATGCGACCACGCGAAATAAAGAAGGGTTTTCAATTTTTCAAATACCAATTCTACCCTTTCAAAGACACACCCGACCCACAAAAACCCACTTCGGGTTTCAGTTATTTTTTGATCTTTAAAACTTGCCTTGTTCAAAGAGGGTCAACCCGAACTAAATGGTTGAACTAAATCATTTTTTTTTTCCTAGTCCTGGTTTTTAAACATTAAAGTGTGCATGTTAGAGCTGTCAAGATGCTTCTCCTCTTCGAAGGGCACCTGTAAACTTCCTCTCACGTCCAATTAAAATTGGATTGGAAAGATGTTACATTAGTAATATACTCTGGATGTTCCATAACATAAAAAAAATAACACAACGATAAAATAACAAAGTATTCTTATTCCAAGCCTCCACAGATAACAATATAATAGAATGAATTAAAATACATAAAATTAATCCTGAACTTTTTATTCTCATGATAATCATAACGTGTCAGCCTATCTTGGTAACAAACTAATTAATACAAACTCAAATCCATAATATTATTCCAAAGTTCAACAGCTATATACGAGTAACTGTTTAGAACTGCTTTTGAATATTGTTGATTATCTTCTCGTCCACTTGAAATGCCTTGGAAAGAATTTCAGCAGATATAGGAGGATTAGATCCAAAGACGTCGGCAATGGTGATAAGTCCTGGACTTTGACTGCAAAGACCAGAAATGCAACCGCATTTCAATTTGAGTTGGAAGTGGATGAGACCAATTGGGAACATAAACACATCTCCTTTGTTGAGTAGTTTGGTAAAGAGACGATTTTCAGGGTTGGATGGCACAAAACCAACATGAAGAGTTCCCGCCAGGACTATGCGAATCTCAGTGGCTCGAGGATGAGTGTGAGGAGGGTTTAAACACTTAGGAGCAAAGTCCAAGAGAGCCAAGGCTATGCCCATAATATTGAGTCCCAAAATCTTAGTAATGTCAACAACAGTGGCACTTGAACCAAGTCGACCTGACGTGTCTCCTTGCTTGAGTCCAGAGAAGAAGAAATCCTTAGCATTGGCAAGTTTGGGGTCCTTGCAGAATTTTCCATTCACAAATTAACACTGCAAACAAGTAAAGAAAATAAAACCCGTGAGTCATTAGCATGCCTGCAAATTCAGATTAAAATTAGATGTGCGAGCTAGAGTGAGGATAGTTAAAGGTAGAAAAAAAAACAAACACACACCACCACCACCAGTGGTCTTGGTGTCGTTAATAACGACAGAGAAATCTTGAAGAGGGCTTGGATCGTAAGCAAAGGCACCAGAAGATGCCAGAGCCAGAAGGGCGAGAACTAGGTGAGCAGCTTTCGTATTTTCTTTACCTTGCAAAAACAAAACAAGTCTTGATTTGAGAATTGTGTGAGTGTGTATTTGCGCTCGAGGGATGAGATTGTTGCATGCAAAACAATGGTTAGATGAAGCGTTTATTTGGTGTCTAATTCTTTTATTACCTCATACACAAAGCAGGTGAAGAGTCCGTTTGCTTTTCCTCCATTTCACGTTCAGAAAGCAAAATTTTACTTTCAAAAAGTTGAAAGTTATTGGGGTAGAATATTTTGCAAGAAAGCACATCTTGAAAGTACATTTAAACAGTAGCTGAAAGTGAATTTCTGAAACGTAACTATTTGAAATTTTTGAAAAGTAGATTTAAAAAGTAAGATATTATTTGACCATACTATCCTAAGTTTAATCTCTTATTTTTTATTTAAAAAATAATTAATTCATTAAAAATATAATTATTATTTTAATAATAATAATTAGGTATCAATTTTTTTAGTATTATAAATTGAGTAATTAATCATGTTAATTTTTAGCATTAATGTATAATAAAAATTACAAATCTTTATTACATCTTTTAAAATTACAAATTAAAAATACAAATAATTAGAGATCAAATTTTTAGTATTATAGATCAAAATTTATGTTATTTATAATCTTTATTACATTTTTTAAATATTTTGAATATATTATATTTGAATAATAAAAATTATAAATCATTATAAATCAATGTTCTTTTTGGTAATTGTACATTTAAAAGTGCATTTCACTATCACAAACCAAACAACTTTCAATGTATCAAATTGACTTTTGAAAAAATATATCCAAACACAAATTTTGTTACAACAACTGACTTTCATTAAATTGACTTTCACCAAATGAACTTTTGACGAACTAAAAACCAAACGCACACGAAGACTCACACATTTTCAAGCAACAGTAATTAATTTATAGTTTATTTAATGAATAATTATTCTTCAAAGACTACTTAAAGTTATAGAACTTGGAACTTTTCTTATCTCTCGTTCTCTTCCTTCCCTCGAGATCACACGATACATTGTCAAACTTCACATAAGAAACGGTTGATATTGTAATATTTTTTTATAAACAAGGTCTAAGTAATAATACTATAATCGCACGACTTAGTTTATCCGGTGAATGAAGAATTACGTAATACGTACGTACGTTTGTCTACAGTACATTGAGTATGAATTTGTCTATCTTCTTGTTTGACAAGTTATATATTGTCTTCTCAAGCAGTTGATGCATCTGATGACGGTTAATCATCGGGAGAAAGTCGAAGAAAAACATATGGATACATATGACTTGGTAATTAAGTTGGTATTGGGAATAACTACTCTCTAAAGCATTCAAATGAAAATAACTGGAGGCCATATTCTGAACTGATCAATCAATATCAATATTGATAATAAGAACATGTTTAAGAGAAAGACCCTTTCATATTCACACATGTCCGTCAAATCCACTTTTTTTTTTTCCCACTTAAAATAAAACAGTACTTCACTCGTTAAGCTAATGAAAAAATATATTTGAATAAAGCTGACAAGTTGTTATCTTAGTTGGTCTTGTAGGGGCGTATATGGCCCTCCAGATTTTTTTTTTTTTCAAGTTGGTGAGGGAGAGGTTAACTCCACGGAAAAATTACTGTCCTGGCCCCCCTATGTTTTCAATTTTAACTCTCGTCTCTTGTGTGTGATAATTGTGCATTCCTTTCCCCTTTTTCCTTTCTCTTCTCCTTCACTTCTACGTGTCTTTTATATGGTTTAGCAATAATGATTCTGTAGAGCATTGATAAACTATTTTTTTTTTAACTTTTATAATCATCGTTCTCCTATATTATAAAAATGTTATTAATTTTGTATGTATTCTTTAAAAAAATTTCATAAATTCTTTACAAAATTTATTATTTATTTATTTATGTAAAGTGTGTATATTGATAATGATAATGTTAGTATGCTTTATTTTTATATTATTAATTTTTTATTATTATAAATGATTTTTATTCTTAAAAAATTTCTCGCATTGTAAAATTATAATAAATATTTAAAATAAAAAAATTAAGCAATATCTTTAGCCATATAAACATCTATGGCTCTAGTTTCGCTCGTACAGTGATATATCTTTTTTGACTTCAAAATTGGTATTCAGCTTTTAAAAAACTATGCCTTTTGAAAACGTTTCCCTTTGACTTGAAATGTTATTTTTGTATTATGTGTATATTCTTAAGTTTCACCACCAAATATTTGAGCTTTAATTTTTGTCTATCTTGAAGAAAATGAAAAAGCAAAACCTTTTTGTCCATCCCTTGTTGTACGAACAAAGCACCCTCGCGCTTTTTGTCCGCGGAACTCAGTTATTTTTCATTCATCGCATTAGTTTCAAAAGAATAAATTATAAATGCATGAAATAGTGATATACGTTGGTAAGAGTATTCATCGAGTATTATTCCTTTGTAACAAAAAAAAAACTATACTCTTAATTTAGATTTTTTCACGTATATAATTGACATTTGGTAACGAATCACCAACGCCACTGTTTTAAATTTTAGTTGTAGCTAGCGCACAAAGTTTAAACACTAAATTTCACTCTGCACAATGCATATTTTGACCAAAATCAGACTGAGGTATTTGATAATAAATTAAAGGGAACATTATACTCAGGTCCCACATAAGAGATTTAATTATCAAAAGATCCCATAAAATGCACAAAATATATCCTAAATCCTAAATCTTATGCATTTACATTTGAGCAATGAGTATTCACAAGTTGTCATTATAAGTTGTCATTTTTCTTTACAAACTCTAAATGCTTGTTATCTAGTTGTAAAATCTTTTGCCAAACTGTAAATACGCAAGATTTGAAATTTGTGAATGTTTTGTATATTTCATGGGATTTCTTAGTAATTAATTTCTTTTGTGCACCTAGGTGTAATTTTCCCTAAATTATTTGTTCCCCGTTTGGTTTTCGTACAGAAAAATGGAATGATAGATCTTCTTCCAAAATGTATTTACATGTATACGATTTGTAGAGATCAAGAGAACTTTAGCCCTCGGTATTATATTGCTAATGGCTTGGTCGCAAGATATTTCTCATCATATATATGTGTAAAGGCATGATTAAGTAAAAATGTGCGCATGTATGATATATCATTTATTTTATTTAAAAAAATTAGAAACATCAAGACATTATTCTGACAGGCAAACCTAGTAAACAAAGTATTACAAACTCAAACTGAAATCCTGATAAGAGTTTTCTTATTAACTATTTTCTATCTATAACCCTTTTTGAATAGCATCAACTATGCTCTTGTCCACTTGAAAGGCCTTGGAGAGAATTTCATCAGAAATGGGAGGGTTTGATTTGAACACGGCATTGGCAATGGTAATAACTCCAGGATTCTGGCTGCTCAAACCAGCGATGGCAACGGCATTCGTTTTACCCACGTTGAGTTGGAAGTGGATCAAACCAATTGGAAACACAAACACATCTCCCTTATACAGCACTTTAGTGAATAGGCGATTCTCGGGATTGGATGTAACAAAACCCACTAGAAGAGTACCCTCCAAAACCACAAGAATTTCAGTTCCGCGAGGATGAGTGTGTGGAGGGTTCAAGCCCTTGGGAGCGAAATCGACACGAGCCAGTGATATGCCCATTGTATTGAGGCCTGGTATTTCATTTACAGCAACTGGAGTGACTGCCGAGCCAAGCGAACCAGACGTGTCTCCTTGTTTCAGTCCACCGTAGAAGAAATCATTGGCAGAGACAAGCTTGGGATCCTTGCAGAATTTTCCATTCACAAACACTGCCGATGCAAAAAAACATTAATACTGTGAAAATGTTTACATGCATGCATGAATAGTACTATATGTCATTAAAAATGTGAAATGATCTGAAGTGCAAAGAGAAAGACAAAGCGACTCACCACCACCAGTTTTGGTTTCGTTGATGGCAACGCAAAAGTCTTGAAGAGGGCTTGGATCAAAAGCCAAGGCACCAGCAGATGCCATGGCCAGGATGGCAATGAGGGCTAAGTGAACAGCTTTCATGTTTTCTTTAGCTTGCAAAAACAAAACAAGTCTTGTTTCGAGAATTGTGTGTGTATTTGCGTTCGGGGGATGAGATTGTTTCATGCAAAACAATGCTTATTTATAAGGACGAAGCGTTGATTTGGTCTGATTCTTTTATTACCTGACACACGAAGCAGATGAAGACTTGCACGCTTTCAAGCAATAGTAATTTATGTAGTTTATTTTATTGAACGAATTATTCTTCAACAACTACTTAAAGTTGTACAACTTGGAACTTTTCTTGTCTCTTTGTTTTGTTCCTTCCCCTCGAGATCACACGACATATTGTCAAACTACACATAAGAAACGGTTGATATTGTAATAATTTACCATAAACAAGGTCAAATTAATTAGTATGCTTACACGACATGGTTTATTTAGGAATGAATTATGTAAGTGCGTACGTTTGTCTATTGATTATACCGAGTATATATGAGTTTGTCTCTCTTCTTGTTTGACGTGTTATATATTGTCTCTCACAGGGACGGACCTACGTTATATAAGGGGGGCTGGCGTCTGTTGCAACTTGCAAATCCCCTCCCAAAAAAAAAAAAACTCATCATATATCTTTTTTTAATTACGGTATTATATGTATATAATAAAATATGTATATGTTTTTTTTGTGCTTCTTTGGTCCTATATATAAGGCAAAAAGATAATACTTATTTTGGTCCTATTTATAAAATACTTTAATAAATATTATGTCTATTTTTATCATTGCTCATATTAAATGTTGTGAATGATATTAAATACTAGAGTATTTTATTTTTAAAATATGTATATTTAATAAGAATAAAGTAAAAAATATGTTGAATTTTTAAATAAAGTTAATGAGGTGTAAAATTTTTTATTTCAATAAAAATGCGTGGAGTGACTTATAAATAAGAATGAAGAGAATATATTTTAACAAAAATATATATTATATTTAGTTATTTTGATATATGGTATCTTGTGCTTTTTTTTCAATTTTCTTGAAATATTTATGTAATTATACTTCTAATAACTAATATAATAATATATTTTAACTAATAAAATTAATTTTAAAAATTAAATATACATTTATTTTTAAAAAAATTGGCCCCCCCTGATTTTTAAAGCTGGTTCCGCCCCTGGTCTCTCAAGTAGTTGATGCATCTGATGAGAGATCGGGAAGGTCGGAGAAAAGTATGCAGTTACATGTGTGATATGACTTGGTAGGTTGGCATTATAAATACTATCTAAAGCATTCGGTAAAATGAGAATAACTAGAAGCATTCCGAACTGATCGACATTAATAAAAACGTGTTTAAGAGAAAGACCCTTTCATATTCACGCGTCCGTCAAATCCACTTTTCTTAAAGGAACTATGGGCCCGTCCGATTTCTATTCTTATTTTTTATTTTTTAAAATTATTTTGTAATATAATTTGTAGTATTTTTTTGGAACTGTTATTAGAATTTTTTAAAGATATGCTACTATTTATCATTTGCTATTATTTGAGAAATATTATTTAATAAGATATTGTTGTACATAGTTTTTATTAAGATATCTCTTTTTCCTTATATGTATTACTCATCATAATAGTAATTAATACGACATTTTTCAATTCTTCTTTAATTTATCTCTCTCATCTTTGATAATTTTTATTGTACCAGAGCTGTATAATATTTTTACGTTAGCCTTCTTTCGCAGTGTTGCCGTCCTTTATCGTGAGTTTAGATCCACCTTAAATTTATTTTCGCATATCCACAAGGTAGTTTTGATAAATTGGCATTTGCAGATTCGTTAACTGTTGGATCGTGCTGAAATTTGGTCAAAAGGTACAGGACATCCAATGTGTCATTTTCAATGGTCCAATCATTGATTAGTTTCCTAGTGTGAATGCTATGCCATTCGCACTATAGTCTCTAGTTTGAGTGTTTTTAATTCTTCATTTTCTTTTGTAAGCCTTGTTTTCCCCTTTAAAAAATGAAAAAAATTCAAAGGTTGCTCAATTTGTATTAGTTACCATGAATGGTTGTAATTACCTTCTTTGTTGGAAAAATGTGATATTGCTAAGCCTACTTTGGAATCCTCTTCGATTGAACTTGAAACTTTGTTACACGCATTCATCTCTAGTTCCTCTAGCCCATTTGCTACCTTATATACTCTCACCAATAAATTCATTTGGTATTTTGACTTTGCTTATTACAATCATATGATAGGTCAAGAAATTTTTTTTTCCTTTATGACACCTAACTCTACTGGCTATCTTATATATACTGCTAATAATTCTCACATACCTGTTAGTCATATTAGTACTGTCTCCTTGCCTTTTCTATCTATTCATGATACATATTATTCTCTCCATTAACTTCAACCTTCTTTCTATTGGATAATTTATTGATATGGGTTAATAAACGTGGTTGTGTTGTGATGGATTCTCATACAAGGCAAGTTGTCGATATCGAGCACAAAGTTGGTCACATGTTTGAACTCACCTCAATGCACCTACTCGAGATCAATGTTCTCACATTATGTGCTGCCTCCACATCCTCTTTTCTTAATTCTTCTCTCAACTTATGGCATCGTTGTCTTACTCACGCTTCTATAAGTAAATTGCATCCTTTAATTTCTAGTAATCTTTTAGGTAATGTTCATAATCATTCTTTGCAATGCATTTCTTGTCAGACTGCTAAATAACCTACTTTGTCCTTTCATAAAAATAATTCTATTGTTGCTTTTTCATTTGATTTGATTTATTTTAATGTTTGGAATCCTGCACCTATTCCCTCCATAAGAAGATCTCAATATTTTGTGATTTTTGTTGATGACTTTTCTCATTTTACTTGAATTTATATGATGAAACATTGATCTAAGTTACACAAACTTTATATTAAATTTGCTACTATGATTCACACTCAGTATTCTAAAGTTATCAAAAATTTTCATCGTGATAATGCTTTCGAATATCGTGTGTGCTGAGCATAAACATCATTGCTCATTTTCTCTTCTTGTCCTAAACGATTTTGGGGTGAAGTAGCTTTAACCTCTATTTTTTGCATCAATCAAATCTCGTCTCCTATCACCAGTAGCATTTTCGTTTTGAGCGTCTCTATGATTATCCTCCCAATTATAGTCTTTTAATAGTTTTTGCTTGTGCTTGTTTTGTTCTTATTTTGTCTCATAAGACAAACAAACTTTAAGCTTATTCTTGTGTATATTTTTTTCTTAGTTATGATTCTGAGCATAAGGGTTATCGTTATTGGGATCCTCTTTCTCACCATATTCATATTTCTGAGCATGTTGTCTTTTAAGAAAATATCAAGTTTTCATCTTTAATCGATCTCTCATCATTCTCATCTTCTTCACCTCCTATTTTTAATAGATATTTCTATTGATCTTTTTCCCATTGATTCAAGTACAGATTCCTCTAGTGAGCTCATTTCCATGATCGACGTTATGCTTGCTCTAGATATGCCCATTCCTTAAAGGATTCTTCTACTGTCATGCCTATTGCTCCTCTAGCACAAGTCATGCCTACTGAGCCCATATCGTCCATAAACTCTTGCCCAATTATGCAAGAAATTCTCCCTCTTACCTCAATGATTATCATTATTTTTCTACCATTCTCTAGTTTTAGGAACCTAGATTCTTTAAGGAAGCTTCTCATGATCCCCTTTGGCAACAAGTTATGGATGATAAATTACAGGCCCTAAAGAAAATGCATACTTAGGATCTTGTTGATCATCCTCTTAGTAAAACTTTGGTTAGGTGTTGATGGGTCTACAAGAACAAGACTCATTCTGATAGCTCTTTGAAGCAATGTAAGGCTTGCTTGATGGCTCAAGGATTCACTCAAAAGTATGGTGTTGACTATGAGGAGACTTTTGCACTTGTTACCCGTATGACTTTTGTTCACAACCTTCTAGCCATTATTGTTGTTAAGCATTGGCCTCTTCATTAGATAGATGTTAAAAATGCCTTTTTAATAGAGATCTAGAAGAAGAAGTGTATATGAAGCCCCACCCTAAGTATCAACATTCAAAAGATAAGCTGGAACTATGAGTATCTGATCTAGCTTAATTGTCTTCCATGGATTCTGGATCATCTTTAGGGTCTTCCACAATTAGTTTTGGATGAGGTTGAACCATAGCAATTTTGGTTATATCAACCAAATGTTGATCATCCTTTGAATTTGCATTTTCTGATAAGAGTTCAATTGAAACAATTGAGTCTAAATCTTTATCAGTGTAGGCTTGTTCAAAACTATTGCTTCTATGGCAAATTATAATTAGTGAAATTTGATATGTATCCTAATATTCAAAGTAAACTTGTAATTTATTTATGTTAAAGTAAAATTATGTTTTTTTTAGAAAATCACATAAATTTATATATTACCAGTGAAATTTACTGAAACAGATTTGTTGTGTGGAAAAGAAAATAGATTGTGTGGCTTTTTGAAGCTCATTTTCAGTGTTCAAGCAATATTGTTATTCATGAGTTCATTTTGATTCTCCGTCGTACGTACTTGTGTAACCAAAACAAATTATAATGTTATTTAGACGTTGTCCCATAATTTACACTTGATGAATAATATCACGCGAGAAAGTCATTGTTTTGTAGCGCACAAAGTTTAAACACTAATTTTCTTTTGGCTTTCATAGTCAGACTGAGATGCATGTTTGATAATAAATTATTTGTTCTCCTTTAGCTTTCATAAATCGGAGTTGATTTTCTGTTGTAGTAGAGTTACTTGGTACGCAGGAGTAGAAAAATACAATGATATATGTAAAAAGGCATAATTAACTTATAATGTGCGCACATATCGCTTATTTCTTTTATTTAAACAAGATACAAAGCTCCATACATTATTGTAATCCGCAAACCCAGAAACAAATCATTACAAACTCAAATTCAATACGAGATAGAGTTTTCTTATTAACTACTTTCTACCTATAACCCTTTTTGAATAGCATCAACTATGCTCTTGTCCACTTGAAAGGCCTTGGAGAGAATTTCATCAGAAATGGGAGGGTTTGATTTGAACACGGCATTGGCAATGGTAATAACTCCAGGATTCTGGCTGCTCAAACCAGCGATGG